TATGAAAAAAGGATTATTAGAAAATAATAGATAATTCGTTTTATTTTTTGGAAAATCGATTTATCATAGAATCGGCTTCTTAATTAATTGGTTATTTTCGATTAGGCGATTATTTTGGAATTATTGATTTTTTTTTTGGTATTTCAAAGATAACCGAATTATCGATTTTAAAGGAAATACAATAAAAATAGATTATTGATAATAATCGATTGATCGAAAAAAAATCGATTATTTAAAATAATCGATCATTCTGTTTTTTTTTAAAATCGATTTGTCAGTTAATCGACTTTTTAATTAATCGAATATTTTTGAAATACAATAAAATAGATTATTGGTAATAATCGATTTATCATAGAATCGGCTTCTTAATTAATTGATTATTTTCGATTAGGCGATTATTTTGGAATTATCGATTATTTTCGGTATTTCAAAGATAATCGAATTAAAGATTTTAAAGGAAATACAATAAAAATAGATTATTGATAATAATCGATTGATCGAAAATAATCAATTATTTAAAATAATCAATCATTCTGTTTATTTTTAAATCGACTTTTTAATTAATTGATTATTTTTGATTAATCGATTATTTTCGATTTTTCAAATATTATCGAATAATCTGTTTCCATTGACGAAAAAAAATGATTTATTTGAAAATAATCGATTATTTAAAATAAACGATAATTCTATTTATATTATATTTTGTAAACACTGATTTATCGGTTAATTGGCTTTTTAATTAATCGATTATTTTTGATTTTTCAAAGATATTCAAGTAGTCGATTTTAAAGGAAATGACAAAAAATATATTGTTTGAAAATAATCTATTGATCGAAAATAATCGATTATTTTCAATTATCGATAATTTATTTCGATAATCACTCATCCCTAGCGAGCAAATGACTTTTAATAGATTTAAATTTTAAAATGTTATCTGGTTTCAGACATATGCATTTCTAGAGTTTTATGTGACTCATCCTTTAAAATAATTAATATTCTTAAAGAAAGAAGCCTTAATATACTTTTTCTGAGGTTACAATACAAAACAGCATTTTCTCATTTTGACTAATTTTTAATAATATGTAATAGCCGTAGAAAAAATATAATGTTCAACTCATAAGGGTAGATTTGCAGTATTAGCCTGCACACATGCTATTTTTATAATACTCGTAGACAATGAGTAACATTTTTTGCTCTATTAACAATATATTCTATTTCAACATTTTACTGTAATCTCTTGCAGAAAAGTCAGTAGTAAATAAACGCTAACGAAATATTCTATAAAAGGTCTTCTCTTTACATAAAATGTCGTGGCATCTGTTTGATATTAAAAAATCACGATAATTTGATTTCAGAATACAAAATTCGATTAAACACCTTTTAAATAAACCTAATAGTTCATTAAGTTGCTAATAAACAAAGTCCGGTCCCTGTCACAGAGTTCGGGTCGCCGCGTGTCGCCGCCCAGTTCCCCCACTCCGTTAACCCTTCTTTAGAAATTGGCAACATTTGCGCAGGTTTAAAACCGGTGTATGTTATATCTTTGGTCTCTTTTATCTAAGGTTTAGGGATAAGCAATATTTAACTCAAACGAACGTATAATTAGAGTATTTTTTAGTAGTGATATGAAATATAGGGTGTTACATTTAAAAAAATTGAGAAAGTCATGTATCTGAGTTTTGACTCATCCTGTACACGTAGACTATCATTAAAAATGATTCATTAAAAAAATTTGATGTTCGATTGTTTCTTTTGAAATATACAGAGGGTTGAACCTGGTACGATTTTCATATAAAATTGGTTTAACCTTCCAAAATACCCAGTATAACCTCATATATGTTGATATTTTCTTGAAGGGCAAAGTCAGGAAATTTAAAATTCTTGAAAAATTACATTTCTGGAGCATTCGTGGCAACTGTCTTCAATTTGTTAACAATTTCTTGAAAAACAGATCCTTCTCAGTAAGAGTGCACAACTCTTTCTCTGTAAATACCACTGAAGAAAATGGAACACCTCAAGGCTCTATTATTAGTCCAACTCTGTTTTTAATCGCTATTAATGATATAATTAAAAATCTAACTAAAGCAATGAAAGCCTGTTTGTATGCTGACGACCTAGTAGTTTATATCAAAGGTAAAAATGTACCTCAAATGACATCCATATTGCAAGGCTTTCTAGATCGACTGGAACAATGGTCCATCGAAACAGGATTCGAATTTTCAGTATCGAAAACTACTGGTAACGTATTTTCCAAATCCACTCGAGTCAATATGCCAGTGTTAAAACTATACAATAAGAATCTAACGTTTAAATCATCTGTAAAATTTTTGGGTATGTTATTTGATCAAAAGCTCTCTTGGAAGGAACACATTAAACAACTTATACTCGAATGTAGTAAAAGACTGAACCTTATGAAAACTTTAGCCAACTGAGACTGGGGTTCTGATTATATCACATTAATTGCTATCTACAGAACATTAATTAGATCTAAGATGGCTTACGGTGCTATTGCTTACGCCTCTGCTCCTAAATCAACGCTGAAGCCACTGGACTCCATCCATAATGCTGGGCTACGTATTGCTCTTGGTGCTTTTCGTACGTCTCCTATTGAGAGTATGTATGCAGAAACAGGTGAACCTTCTTTACATCAGAGGCGAATGTTTTTAAGCTTATCACATGCTACATCTATAGCTTCAAACAAAAACAAGCCCCTTTATAACAACACCTTTACAAACAGATATCTACATCATTTAAATAACAAACCAAAGTCACCTAAACCTTATTATGAAAGAATTCGAACTTATCTGCAACATCTAGACATTGAGTTTCCTGTAATGTTGCCTTTAGATCTCGATCACCCTCCCCCGTGGACAATCAACATACCTCAAATCAATACTGATCTACACGAATTTAATAAAACACATACCAATCCTTCCATCATAAAAGCTAGTCTGACCTCAATATTAAATAAGCACTACAATAATGCCCAGAAACTTTTTATGGACGCTTCTTAAAGTAATGTAGGGGTTGGCGCTGCATTAGTTACACCCTTAAATACTTTTAAATTTAAACTACCTCCAACTACCAGTGTCTTCTCCGCAGAACTTTATGCCTTATACAAAGCCATTCAATATGCAAACTCCTCTAATTATGTCTGCACTCTAGTACTTACTAACTCCTTGAGCTCCATAGAAACAATAAAACAAATATATCCTCAAAACCAAATTGCAAAAATGATCAAGTTTGAACTACTACGGGCTCAACAACACTCCAGGACTGTTAGTATCATTTGGATACCATTGCATGTTGGCATTGATGGAAATGAGGAAGCTGATCTCTGTGCGCGTAGTGCGATAACGAGTGCGGAATCTGAAATAGTAATCGGGAGTGTACCAAGTGACGTTAAAGGCTATTTTAAAAGTAAAATTTTGTGTAGGTGGTCTCGAGAATGGGAACATTCCCAATCTAAATTACGGTCTATTAAAGAAAATGTATTGCCTTGGAAACCTGTTACTAATAATCGGAAAGTGCAGACGATTCTTACCCGCTTACGACTGGGTCACACTGCACTCACTCATTCATATCTTCTGAATAAGACTAATCCTCCTCGATGTGAAGAATGTGATGTTATACAAACTGTTAACCACTTTTTACTGGATTGTCCTCAATATAATATCCATCGTATTACCTATAAGATCCCAAATGACAGAACAATACTACATTTTATGGAACAATTGTATGAATTTTAAGTACGCAACAATATCATTCCACGGACAGTTTTTATCCTGTTTTTTTTATATGACTTGTTTGTTTATAATTGTACCGGTCGCTAGTCACCTTTTGGTGGATGCGACTCATTTTTGAAATTAAAAAAAAAATTTACAATTAAATACATCATCCATTTAAAAAAAACATAGGTTTGATCAATTCTGAAGTTATGGATCACTCTGTATAATCAAAAATAATTTTGAAATGTGCAGATTAATATTATCTACAACTTTTGTAAATAACATTGTTTGATATTTTCTATAATATAGGGTATATTGAACTTCCACACACTATTGGGACACCCTGTATGTCAATCTTAGTATTACAGAAATGATTTACGTAAAACAATAAGGTGTACAAATACGTAAAATTTATTTATCCCTCGTAAAACATCAGTAAAATATATTGTAAATTGTTTTCATTCTCAAATATTAATTTTTTTAAAAATCTAACAGAGGCGCCACTTTCCAAACAACCTTGCAATGTAAGGGTTTCGTAGTACCAAACTTTTAAATTTATTTTTTACTATTTTTAAAAATATGTACGTGTAGGTAAAGGTTAAATATATGCTCCTCTGGAACCACTTTTCAAAATTCAATTTAGTTTTTTCAAAAAAAATTGATTAAATGGAAAAAACTCGAGTTTTGTATTTTTTTTTTGTTTTTAGAAAAACAGTTTCAAATTTTAGAAAAGTGTGTCCAGTGGAGTATAGATTTAACCTTAACCTACACGCACATATTTTTTTCTTTCAGAATAAGTCAAAAATAAACTTCAAAAGTGGGGTACTACGAAACCCTTGCATGCTCTGCTCCAAAGCCTAGTACGTACTCTTAAAAAAAAATGTATACAAATATAATTATCTGTTTTCATTGAAGTTTTATTATACTTTCTATTGTTTAGCAATAAGAATTAAATTTAGCGCAAACAGTATAATATAATTATTATATACTTTCAAAAACGTAATTTATATCACAAAAACAACAACAGGTGAACGTCAATATATTGATAACAATTCACATTTCGATTAGATATCAGAAACCCCTAAATCAATATTTCAAAGCAGACATTAAAATAGGTTTATTATATAATAAAATGAGTTCTGTGAACCACTGAAAAAAATGTTTTCGTAAAAAGTAATCCAGATCAGATAAAAATTGAAATTCATTATTGAAATTATCTCAAGTATAAATAAAAGTTAAGATGTAAAATCGATCATTTTACAACTAGGTATACTTATTATCAGTAAAAAAAAACACAAAACGTTTAAGAAATTTATTTATTTAATATGGCTATTAGATATAAATTGCTAGAATTTGATAGTAGAAGAAAGGTTGTCATAGCGGCAGCCATAATATCTGTAAGTGTAATAATTTTAATAATAACGTGTGTATTAGTTTTTGGGGAAAAAAAGGTAACAGACAGTAGCAGTAGTAACGGTGGACGAGGCAGTGATACAAATAATACTGGTAAGTATATTTTTAATAATGCTTCATAATATTCTGATTTTGTAATGCATTCATTTGGATTTAAGAATGTCACAATTTAACAGGAGCTATCAGAATCACATCATCCAGAATCATTTACCCATTGGAGACGATCAATTTTTTGTCTCATCCTGTATAAAATGTTGAAAGTGCTTCTTATTAATATAAAACAACCCAAATCAAATTCAGCCTGAAAATATTACTCCTACATTCCTACTGTAAAACTAGAGGTTTACTTTATTAATCAACATTCCATTTTTGTAATTTTTGAATCGCCTTGTAACTAATAAGAGCCACTTTGCAGTTCTAAATGTTTCTTACTGCAAGTTTTTATATATTTGGGTACTCCTAATTAAACACTGGAGTTAACATTCGTATGAATTTTGTCACTGAGCTATTAAGAGGGTTCTATACCCGTCCGCCATATTGGAAATGTTAATGTTCAAATTGCGGGCTTAATACTTACCAAAAAAAAATCTTTTTGGAATCCGAGCTTCTTATGCATCGTAGATTGGCGCATGATAACTTTTTTTTATAAACATAAAAAAATAAAATAGAAAAAATGTAAAAAAAGTTATATACGTATAAATGTTATCATCCGCCATTCTTCATTTGCCCCTGAACAACTTGTGTATTTACCATTTTTGAAAAAAGTTAAAGTTTTTTCTAAAATTGAACATTGCTTAAAAATTTCAGAGGGCACCGGGAGGTGCTGCCCCTAACGGTCCTCTTTTACGTTTGGATACCATGATTTCGCTTAAGGACAGCGTCTCCTAGGAATTTCTGAACAAAATTATGTCAATTTAGATTCAATCAAGGAGGTGCTGTTACCTACCGACTAGAGATTGAATTAGTGCAAACTGTTACAGAAATCTTTAAGCAACTATAAATATCGACCGACTAGCTATTAGGGGATATTGTATTATATTGTATTATAAACCGGTTTTTAGTAGACTGAGTTCGAAGGATCATAATAATAGTCCTGAACATAAAATCTATTTTTCAATATTTGCCGGGATTTTACCAAATAAAAAAAAAATATTTCGCGATTGTGAAAACGGTCCAATCGTTTCATATGCCATTTATAATATTATAAAAATGTTAACTCTAGGACTCATTTTGGAGTATGAGCATACTTTATTTCAATGCTTTTATTCATAAAGTATTACCTACCTTTTACATTTTATTTTTAACGAAAATCGACTTTGTTTCCTGGACCAAAGTAAAGAATGTAGGTAGGTATTATGCAGATGGCAACAACAAAAACGATATCTTGCCTCACATTAAATATAAATATTTCCTAAAACAAATAATTTGGTTTATATACGGGTAGCAATACGAGGGATGTTTATAATTTCAAGTCACGAATATAGAGTCGTTTCAAAATATATTGCCACAATAATTGCGTCACATTGAGTCGGAGTGGGACGCTTGACGTGTCGCAATTCGCAATATATTTTAAAACTATTCTACCTAATTAATACATTGTGATTTTGAAGTATCGAATGAAAACTATATTCTCATTGGTTAAAGATGGAAGTGTTTGTCATTTGAATGTTCAGGAATATTAATTGTGATTAATTGGTTAAATACCGAAGTTATCTGTTATCTGATGTTGGTACTAACCTAATGTTTTTGGGTAATTTTGACGGTCATTTCCTGGAATTTCCAGGCCCGCATAAATATTTATCCTATTAAAGTACAAAAACCCTACAATAGATATTATGAGTAGGTATTTAACATTCATTTATCTTATCTTATCTTAGGTAGTTATTTCCTAGAAACATTTCCCTGATTGTCAATAACACATTACCGTATATCTGTGCCAATATGACGTCACGACTTTTAATATACTTAATGAAGGCTGGGGGAAGGAGTTAAGAGTCTATAAATTTACAAACAAGCTTACGGGTATTTAGTTTTCAAAATTACATCACACGTTTCTGAAGTGTTTTATTGTGCTGTTTGTTTTTAATAGAAAATTGATTTATTTGTGCCAAGTGTCCTAGTGAGTTTCATTGTACATTTTAGTCAGTTTTATTTTTGGATAAATTGACATCGACTTCCTGCATTAAAGGTAGGTAGTATTTTTTTTCTATCACTCTCGAGTTCGTCATTGAATAAAAAAATTAAACGATATAATTTTAACATTCAAATATTTGCAATTAAAAAATAATATTACGTATTAAATTTGACAATAAAAAAACTTGTTATTTAATAATAATGTTTCATTATTCTGAATATATTTTTTCTACGATCAATATCCAAAGTAGGTAGGCTTTTGCACATTAAAATCTAAATAAAAAGTTGACGTTTTCTGCGAATTGTCATAATTTGACATTATTGGCGCACATTACCTAATATTCAAACCCATTTCCATGCTTAAAAATAGAAGATGGTGACGTTCATTTAAAAGAAAACCATAACTACTTTTACCAGGTGAAAAATTTCAATATGTTAAAATAATTCATGATTTTTAAGAAATGTGCTAGAAATGATACTACAATATTAATATTCTTTTTATGTTTGATTTTCTAATAATGATTTTATATACTTTTAGATTCAAGGACAGCTAGGTATAGCTCAAAGAAAATTGTGCTACTTTGTAGTATATATTGGAGATGAAAATCCACTATTTGTTGAAAAAATTCATTTTCAACCCATTTTTTTTAAAAATATGGTTGAAAAATTAGAAAAATTTTACTCGGAATATATGGCACCTGAGATAATTTTAAATAGAAGAGGACGAGGATTAAAATGTCTGGATACCCCATATAATGAAACTTAAAGTGCAAAGATTAGCAAATTTATAAAAATTATAATTTAATGGACTTTAATGATACAAGTACTTGAAATAATGGTTTTTTTTGCGCAGAAGCATGTTCATACGTAATTTGCAATTGGTAATCACTAAACACAGATGGAAAAGTATATACGTCAACGATATGTTCTCTTATTTTTGATTTATTTTAACAGGTATAATATATGGTATGTTACTTATAGTATAGATTTTTTTATTTCTCGACCTAATTTATTTGTTACGTCTTCAGCAATTGTCGCTTTCAGTTGACATAAACGAAATTGATAAAAAGTATTTTTCGCATTTTATTTTGACTGTTTCTCTTACTTTCGAATAGAAACTGAGCTTTGTAAACATAAAATGACGGATATGTCAAACTAAAACTGACGGTAAAATGAAACATTGAGTATCGTTAAATGCAACTTTTGAACTAGTTTTAAAAATAGCATTAAAATGATATTATCATTCACAATGTACTAATTTCCTATACTTTTAGTTGGTAAATAACCGATAATCATACATCATATAACAAATAGGCGCGTGTCAAAAGGTCAGAAAAAAGAGTGCCGATGAAAAAAGGTCGTTTCCAATTGTATCATATAAACAGTATCAGAGGCAGTATTATCATCTCGTATATCCCCTGTAAACACACTTAATATAAACGGAAATAATCAAATACTAGTCAAAATATTATCGATCGGAGCACCATCTTTATTACATTACATGAAGTAATTATTGATTTTTCGGGGTTTATTTAGAGTTAAATTAGACGCCATTTTTGGTCCAAATTCGTTTTGACATGTTTTTTCAAAGAAAGTGACTTATAAATTTCATTTCTACACGTTTTGAAAAATATACAATATTTAAATATTCTGAGTGTACCAAATTCCAAGTAAAGGTTGAACTTAGGTCGTATTACATTTTTTTTTTAATATTTGTTTGACATCGAGGTTAAAATAATTCTAGACGGCACCTTTGAGATGAAATAAAAGGGGGTTATTTTACATGATTGGTTTTTATTGAAAATAATAAATTTATTAATTTTCAATAGTAAGGTGACCTAAGTTAGACCTTTATTTTTAATTTGGCCAAAAATTAGATTTTTAAACACTACATATTCGGAAAACTGTCGATTTAACTTTTGGTCTACACATACAATTTTAATACACATGGATACCCCGCCCTTAAATAGTGGAAAAAAATACATTCCTAGAGCAAAAATCAAGGGCGCTAATGGCGTTTTATAAGATTGCACTTTTCGACAAGGCTTTACGTTGCATAATGAGCTCTTTATGAAACCGAAATCTAAAACCCCATTTATAAACAAATAATTTTCTATTCTGTAATGTGCAAATAAAAAGAAAGAAAGAATGCCACTCTTGGCAACGTTGTAATTTCATGTATTGTCATCAAAATAAGTGATCTGTCTGTGGTTGTCAATGTCGTTGCGAAAGTTAAAGGTTTCAAAACCAAAAACGAATTTTTAAAAATTGACTTTATTTCGAATGCTGCAAGATGAGAACTAACTAGAAAATGTTTTACACTATTTATAAACTACGGTTAATCATATCATATTTCTAAGCGTCTATTCTATTATTCACTATTCCTGGAATATAACTCCTCCACCCCTGGATGGAAGCACAGCCCTTATGGATGTGGTTCAGGACATCAGACGCCAATTTCTACTTCGTTTGGTGGTTGGATTCTTCTTTGATGATTAATGATGCAAACTTTTCTTAAAATCCAAAATCCTATTATAGAACCAACTGAAATGTATATACTGGTCCTGTTAAAATAAATTGGAGTGTTGATGGTTTTTAAATTTTCTTTTTGAATTTCGAGTTTAGTTTGTCTTTCTTGGGTTTCCTTTAAACTAATTGTTCTAAGATCCAGTGAGGGTGGATCAATTTCTTGAATTTGAGAATTTTTGAAATTTACAGCCAAATTCATTACTGGAAGGTGAACGTCAATAAAATTTAGTTGATTGATTTTTGTTGTCACAAATGTAAATGATTTTATATGAACTGTACAATCAGGAGTTGATTCCAGTAGTAGGGTTCCATGGATTGGTACGTTGTCCTCGAGTCCTGGCAGTGAATTATGGCAATTTCTTTATTAGGTGTGGTTATTAGCCATTTTCCATTGGTGATTTTGATTGATTGGATAGTATGTATGTAGGCGA